TTTACTTTTCCTGCTGGCTTGCAGCCAATGGCCTTTTGTCCCTGACAGATTTGATGTGTCGCACTGAAGATCTCCTCTCTCTGCTGTTTGTGTGCCTGGTTCCTTCTCTACACGGCTTCTTTGTTGACGGTCCCTTGGGAAGCAATGGATCCTGTAGCCCGATGGATTCCCTGTGAAGTCTCTTCCTATAGGCACAGCCAGAGGAGTTATATGTTTAGCGCACTCACTTTTGAGATGAATTCTAATGACAGAGTGATAGACAAGCGAACCCGGCAGGAGGCTCTCAAATGATCTTAATCCACTCAAAAAAGCTGATTAACTCCAATAATGAAGAAATCCCAACAATCATGCAAGAGCTGCCAGAGCTAAACTGACATAAATGCCACACTATTTTTACATTAATTTGATGTATAAAGCTGGTGTAGTTATTTGACTGGTCTTATGCTTGATGTTAATTTGTTGATGATTTAATAACATTTTAGAAATGTATACAAAGAGTGTGAATGATTAAGTTTAATTAAGGTTTTCTAGACATGCTGAAGGGAATAACTTCTGACAGCCCAGCAGGATATCAGGTGCTTGCAGCAGTGGGAGGTCAGAGGTCACGGTTCACCACCCAAAACTGAGTTGAACTCAATTTAGATTAAATTGAATTTGCTTTTTATTATTTAAACACATTTTACTTCTAATACATTTTATACATCTATATATTCTAATATGTTTTATAACTGGAAATTCAAATTACAGTAAATATCAAATTGGATATATTTCTTAACCAGTGGCGCCAAAAAATACATTTAGTCCACACTAACAAATGTATGAATGTCATTGCGTTAGATAAAATATCAAAGCAAGTGGCATTTATTTGAGAAAAAGTTTGCACACGTTCACTTTTAAAGCAAATAGTACAGTATAGTACAGTATAGTGTGAACTACACCTGTGGGTTACTCTGCTAGGCCACCTGTGTGAACTGAACTGTATACATCCACTAAAAATCACTGCATGTGACTCTGAGTTGATGATGTGAGCTTATTTATAATATAGTAACTGCAAAAATGGTTCATAAAAAGTTCTAGCATCATGTACAGATTCCACTTGGTTGGTATCTTGACTAGAATAGACTTAACTGAACTGGTGGAAAGTGTAAAGACATGCACAAGACAGCCAAAGTGAATGTGCATTATGCTGCTCAAGTATGCATTAATGCATCCAAAAGTACAATAATCCATTATACACTAACAACATAATGCATGATACAACTTGGATAGATAGATAGATAGATAGATAGATAGATAGATAGATAGATAGATAGATAGATAGATAGATAGATAGATAGATAGATAGATAGATAGATAGATAGATAGATAGATAGATAGATAGATAGATAGACTAAAATGCTATGAATGATGATACTGATGTAAACATGGACCATACAGTATTGCCGAAGGAAGTGACATTCATACAATTTTACTTTTTGGTGCCACTATATATTATTTGTTAATAAACAGCAGTCAGTCAGGAAAAAAACTTCCCAGCTTTATCGTGTGTGTAATCATGAACTTGCAGCTTGAGCGCTTCAGTGACCATAGACGAGCGGGTGAACCTCAACTCCCCCACAGTTCCTCACAATGTGCAGTGTAAAAGCACTATTGTGGTGCTTGAGATTACTTGAGATTAAAAGAAACTTCTTTTTTTACATAAATTAGTCTGAGGAAACTGCCAGTATGTCAAGCTACAAAATTAAGAAATAAAATTACGGCAACGTACGGTCATTGCTAAGAAATAAATCTTAAAACATGCACAAATTTACACTCCCACCAACTTATATTACACCGCATAATAGGAATATGTACAAACTCAGTTAACTGTATATATTTTGGGGTATAAAGTAGGCGTTTCCAAACGGACCCTAAGATTCCACAGCCGTCATTAACACACTTACCTTTCTCTGATGTCCATATATTGCGAGTGATGTCTGCTATAATCCATCTTCTCTATAAACACAATAAACACAAATATAACCACAAATTCTCTCAGCTATTATGTTTATTTTAAGCAGCTCGGAGAGGGACATTCAAACTGCAGAAACTCCCCCCATCCCGCTCTGAAGAGGAAGTGTGTTTGCTGCCTTACACACGCGCTGTATGGATGTCTCCACCAATCCGAGAGCTGCATTTGAAACGCACGGAGTTTGACCAAATTTTCCGAAATACCTATTACTCAGAGGACTGCAAAAGTATTTGCCCTGAGGAAGTAACTGTTCTGTTTACCGTAGTTTTATTTATTCTGTATATTATTTTTGCTTGTTGTTTCCTGTTATCCAACCTTTCCACTCAAAAAAAAAAGTTCTAAGAACGTTTTGCTAACGTTAAGTTATGAAAACGTTTTTTTTTTTTCTGAATGTTCTCTGAACGTTTATAAGTGATGATTTTGTGCTAATGTTTTGAGAAATTATTAAAGAGCATACAACTTTGAACAAACATATTATTAACGTTAATAAAGGGACGTTTGTAACTGCCAAAGTTCATGAGAACATATTAGCTGGGTATATTGTTTTTTACTTTATCTTTCCCATAATCATTTAATATGTTTCTCCTGGTGTATGTAAACACTTTTAAAACCTTCTAAATTATTTTTATTTATTTTTTTAGCTCCATGTTTACAGTATTAGCATCAGTTAAGAACCACAGTTGTTTCTTGACTTCCTTTACTAACAGGCAGGGTTATATTTTTCAAGTGAGGCACAGTTAGTAGTGTCATATATATAGCCTACCACTGAAGACATTATAGTTGCCAGGTGTCCAGAAAGAATTTAAGTTTTTTTCGCCCTCCCTCTGGATTGTTAGCCAAACACTGTAGTGTTTGTCAGTATAGCCTACATTATTTCCCTTTTTTCTTTCAGCAGAACTGTTTTCACCCCTTGTCTGGCAATTTTCAGTGATCTTTTTCTTTAGTGACTAACAGTCAGTTTCTCCTCCAAGCATGTTACTCACAGTATATCTTTATATGTCACATTTGACTTCATGTCAAGGCGGAAACTGAGCCAATTACACTAAAATGTTTTTAGTTACCTAATGGTCTTAGCCTGAGTTCATTTAGGTTACACCAGAGAAAGTAACTTTGGTTACACCAACACAAAGTCATCATGTTAACACTTTTTACTGTAATAGTTCTTCTTCAGCTATTAACAGTCCTACAAACATTAAGTGACAGCTCAAAAGGGCAGAACAAAAGAAGGGCTTGTTGCTAAACAAAGGTGTAACGGCACATGGGATGTGCCCCATTATAATGTGAGCATACTCATTTGTGTTAAACAGTTTGAAAACCTTTGGCCATCCGCACAACAGTGACCTATCTTCAATTGGGGAAAATTCCTTTCAAAGAATAAACCTCTTAAAATGTTTTGGTGAAAAAAGTCACCTAACCTCTTTACAGATTTGGAAATGTTATAGCATTTTATATTTGAATTGGCAAGTTACATTATTACAAAGCAATGCTAATCCAAATCAAGAAGCAAAATTAGAGAACAAGTATTACAGGAAAGGTCATGCTTTTACTGAGTAATACTACTGCACACCTCCCCCACTCAAGCACCCTTGCTGTACTTCTGTTGATGAAACAACTACATTATGTAGTGTTAAAACATTTAACATAAACAAAGCCACATACTGTGAGTCAAGCACAACACATACAGCACTATCTATAATAGACTGTGACCCTACAAACATCTGACTCCCGTGGAGACTGGAGGTGAATGAGAACTGTGTTACATAGATGGCCAATGTGGCATCAGCTTCAAAACTCTCTGATTAGCAATTCATATCAGTGGCTAAATACAGATCAAATTTGAGTGCTGTAAAGAATATTGTGAAACAGCCAAAAGGGGGAGAAAAGACCTTAAACCACACAAGAAAAACTTAAAATGTGAGGCGTTTTCAAAAGACCTCGGGCCTTTTTGAGAAAAAAAGCAGGTCTGTGATTGGGTATCTGCAGTCTACATCAACTACAGAGTATCCATTGGTAATTAGGGAATTCCTCTAACTTCCTCAGCCAAAGCCTCAGCAGACATTCAACCATAAAGCAGTTTCATATTTGCATTGTTTTACACAAAGAAAAATAGACTATACCGTTTAAAAGTTTGGGGTGAGACTGGTGAGTATGATTATTTTTTAAAGAAATTAATATTTTTATTCTGCAAGGATGAATTAAATTGATCAAAAGTGACAGTAAAAACATTGATAAAGTTACAAAATATTTATATTCACATACGTGCTATTTATCAAAGAATCCTGAACAAATGTATCGGTTTTTCACAAAAAATATGAAATATGTTTTTAACATTGATAATAAAGCACATAACTATAGAATTCTGAATGAGCATGTGAACGCCGTCAGCGTTAATCACAGGTTCGCGTTTAAAGTCTGATCATTTCGACGGAGGTGAATCAATCAAAGTTAACTTTAGCTGGAAGTAACATTATTCAAGAACCGCTATAACGCCAAAACAATCTGTTACCTTAAATTATATGTTTATCTCTGTAAAGCTGCTTTGAAACAATTCATTGTTAAAAGCGCTATATAAATGAAGATGACTTGACTTGACTTGATAATGATAAGGATTTTTTTCATGAGCATCAAATCAGCATTTTAGAATGATTTTTGAAGGATCATTTAACACTGATGACTGGCGTAATGATGCTGAAAATTCAGTTTTGCCATAACATGAATAAATTCAATTTCAAAATGTATTAAAAAAGAAGTTATTTTTATATTTCACTATACTGTTTTTACTGTATGTTTGATCAAATGAATGCAAACTGATGATAAAACACTTTTTTAAAATCCCAAAGTTTTGAATGCTAGTGTATATATTTCATTTATATTTGAGAATTTATTATGAAAGCATTAGCTGAAGCATTTTCATGAATATTTCATTTTTAATATTTTGCTATTACATTTTATGGGTGAGAGAGATAACAAATATGATACATGCATGACCTCAGTTATCTTCCACACAAAGACACTTTAATTTCATCACAAAGCATTGGCCAGTCTATGACACCAATAAGATACACATGGAGGCAGTACAATTCACACGCACACATCCATTCTATTTAAAAAGAAGATTTTGTATATACACCATACAAGTAAATATACTGTATATACACACACACATACAAACCATAAACTTATATTTTTACAATCAGTTCATTTTCAATAACAACAATAACTTCATTGTCAATACTTAAATGTACATGTCGACACAAGGCAACAGAAGCACAACTCCCAGAGATGCACAACAAATATACATTAACACAGTAATAGATTCTGTTCACCATTTAATCAGTCAGAACAGCTGATATATTCGTTTAAACTCATGTTGGGGTTTTAAGAATGCTTCATTTCATTTATCGGTAACATTTTAACTGCAGACAGATTGATTCACCAACCCTTCCCTTTGATCAGACATTTCCCACTGCTGCATCAACAAATAAATGAATTGCACCAACTTTAAATTATCACATAAACATAATTCTAAGGCTTTTTTCTCCATACCAGACACTTCATAATATATATCCTAATCTATAAACATTTCAGTCAGACCAGTCTTATTTGTTTGCTAGGGAAAATACAAAGAGACAATATGGTCGAAACAAACACTGGGATTAAATATTGTTCAAACTTTCAGGGAGAATACATTCACACACAAAAGTACCACATAACAAGCGCAAAAATCGTGATGTTTACTTTGTGTATCTATCCTGTATACTGGCGTGCAGACGAATATTCTGTATGCTTATGGCAGATACACGTTTAGCTCGTGTGACACTTCTATAATAAGTCGACATTGTCTTGTGTGTAAACACAAACACCACACAGCATTTTCAGTATATTTAACATTGCAGTGACTTCGAATGTTGACACAAGTCCATACTGGGTGAATTATTAAGAGGCCCATTACAATGTGATTACAGACAGAAGGAGTGACTAACCCCACAGCTCTCCTGTATTCTTCATTTATCGTTCTGCCTTTCCTTTCAGCAATTCCATCTGTTCTTGCTGAAATGCTAGGCATGCAGCAATCCCAGGATGCACTTGGTCAGAAGAAAAGCACAGAGAATGAGAGGCAGTGGACAGATAGAGGAGGAGGACGTGGAGGAAGGATATTTGGCTCTAAGAGTCAAACGAAGGATTTGGACTCTCATTGTGAGAAGGGCTTCCTTTGCTTGGACGGCTAAAAGACAAAAAAAAAAAAAAAACAGCAAATAAAACAAAAAAGGGAAAACATGGCTTTGTCAATGTCAGGTATATGGTATGATGGCTTAGTTTTGTTCATTTGCGTTAATATTGGCACTTATTGTGATTGTGGTGGCTATGGCTGATGTGAAGAAGACATGTTTATCTTTCCTCTTTTCTGATGTTTTACAAATATGGAAATTTTATGGCTGCAGTTGCAATTCCTCTTAATGATTCTTCCTTAAAGGTGGACTATGCAGGATTTTCAGTTACTGTTTGTAAACACAACATTCAAACATCCCTCCTTGTGCCAGAAGCGCACGCCCTCTCTCACCCCCGACATGATCAGTTGCCCAACCGACTCAAGAGACAACCTGCGGTAAGATGAGTGAAGAGCTATTTCCCCCCCCCAAAAAATATTTTTTCAAATATTACATTTATCAAAATAGTTTTTTTTTTTTTTACATGAATGAACAGCTACGCTATTAATTAGGTGAATGGCTGTAATTTGTGAGCGAGACTTCAGCCATCTTCAGTCTAGCTCGCTAATAAACAACAACTTTGTGTGTCATCATAAAAACATAATTATAACGCCTAGTAGTCTGTCTAGTCAAAGATAGCAGTCAACAAGGCAATAGTAATTAGCAATTATTTTAGTTTGAAGAAAAAAAACATTGAAAAAAAATGCAATTCAATTGCCAAATGAAAATTTTGAAATAATAAAAAAAATGGTTTAATTCAAAACATTTAATAAATTAATTATTAAAATACAAAAACAAACTTATACTTTACACTGTCATATGAACAGCCAGTCAGAAACTACACTGATTTAGCTCTTACAAGTCCATAGTATGCTGTGTATGTCTGATTCACTAAAAGGAACCGGTTTAAAAGGGAACGCTTTTATAAGGCCATATAAAACTCCAGGGGACTAAGATAAGACTTGTTCGTTGTTAAGAAAGAAAATATGTCAATGAAGCAGTATGAAAAGTAATGTGGTTTTAAGAAAAACATGCAGGTCACTCTTTTTGAGGGGTTGAGAAGCTGTCAGATGTTGGTTATGGCTTATTTGTTGCTAATAAAGGCAAAAACATGTCAGTGTCATCTAGCATTCATGTGCATAAATGTTAAAGGAAGCCGTGTAATAGGCTGGTTTAAATTGACAGTCCCTGTGCATTTTATAATAACTAGTGTTCTTCTTTCCTAAATACAGGATATATGCTGGTAACGGAATAGAGTGGCACCACATATGTGCTTGGTACAATTATTAGATACGTTTAGAATATTACTGACATTCATTCCTGGCATTATATTTGTGGAAGAGAAAATACTTCAAGTAAACGTGATATGTATGTGGACTATGCTTGTGTTGATGGTGTGTGCATGTGTCATTGAGTGTGTGTGTGTGAGTGAGCATGCATGTGTATAGTGGCAGAGGGGTCAGTGGTTATCGTGTCTGCTGATCGCCAGTGTTAATGCTCAGTGAGCGAGTCTCTGTTGGATCTGGTGGGGAAGGCCGGTGCTCTCCGACTTCAAAGATGACAACAGACAGATTGATGGATGCATTACAGACACACAAACAGATGGACAGACAGACAACAGGGGAAAATACACAATTAGGAACAACACAAAAGAACATGGAGACAAAGGCAGTAACAATGAGCACTGACAATGAACATATACTGCAGCATAATAAACAAAGTGTATTCATCAACGAATTCATGAACTGCAAAATCTGTGGTGTCATAGGCTATTAGTTAAACATATAGGATTAAACTAACAAATCAGATTAAAATGGGCTGATTCAGTAAAAAAAAAAGATTTTTCAATGATTAATCCAAATCACATTCAAGAAATAACCAGCTAGATGATTTGCAGAGCCATAACTGAACATTTGGCATGTTAAGTTTGACAAATAAATTATTTCTGTGAAAAACAAAACAAAACTAAGAACACACATCATTTAAAAACATACACGTCATATACAGTACAACAAAAAAAGTATTAGAAAAACCTAGATGTGTTATGGGATCTATTTGCCTCAAAACAACAACACAATTTAAAGTCCCCCTGTGGTAAAAAATATACCTTTTAATGTTGTTTATATGTCTATGTGGTGTTTTTAATATGCTTCATAATTCATAAGTCAACACCATTGCTGAGTATTTTCTCCTTAAAACTGCAGTGAACCAAAGACAGTCTCAAAAACGCGGTTTATAATCGCTGGTGTTTCTGACGTCACAAACTACCTTGTAACCAATCACGTCAACGAGTGGATCTCTGAGCTGATGTGAGTGAGTGGGGGCGGGGCTAATTTGCATATTCATAGGATATGAATTTATACTAAATGAGGCAAGGGTGTAGAGTTACATTCAAGCTAATTTAAGGCATGAAGATTTTTTCGAGGAAAAAACATTTAATATATAATTTTGGTGATCAGGGATAAAATTGTCTACAGGGGGACTTTAAAAGAAAAATTTAATTAAATAAAATACAATTATTAATAAGTAAAAAAAATTAATGTAAAAAATGACAAATTAAAGATAAAAAAATTCATTAATACCATGTTAACTTATGTCAACCTTAAATATAACTATGGCTTGAAACTAAATACAAGTTGTTCAACCAGATGGCATCACTTCCTTATGTAATTAAATGGCAGTTCTAAGCATAGTTGTGCCATTAGGAACATAAAATACTTTGAACAAATTAATAGACAATAACAGACAGCGTGGTGACATATCTGATTGACATACAGTATCTAGAGAATGAAGGGTGTCAGGGGACAGCAGATTACACATTTAAAGATGGAACCATGCAAGGACGTGGTGATGTAACAAAAGGACAATATGTCGAACATACCATTTGTGTAACTCCTCATTGGTCACTGATAGAAATTCTGAAAGAATAATCGGAATCATTGTGGAAGGGATTTAGCGGGACTGAGTTTGGGGAGAACATGGGTTGACAGAAAAGAGCCAATGGAGGAATCAAAAATGTATCATCTCCATGGTTTGTCCTGTTTAATTGGTCGGTTTTCTTTATCTTTTCCTCCCAAGCATGTATATCATGAGAGAATGATCTCACAAATCTGATGCACTGATGTTTCTATTTATACGAGGAATAAATGAACTGAATGAGTTCAAACAGCATTGGAATGAATATTCGCATGGATGAATGTCAAGGAGACGGGAAAAGATAACCAGAGTAGTTGAAAAAAATGTGTGAGTGGTTTGTTAGCGCAGGTCTCTGAGTTGGATTGTGTATAGGAGTGTGTGAGCTGAGAAAAGGTAATGGATTGTGACAGGAGAGAGAAGTAAAAATGGCAGGAAGCATGTTACTGATCTGTATTTCTTGTGTTAAAGAGCAGGGATCAGGTCAGGGCAGAAAGGCTGTAAAGGTTGTAAAATGGAGGATAGTTTGTAGATCATTGCTCTCGACGCACAATTAGTGGTAATATACATACTTTGTCAGCTTGGTTGTATTTAATTATATTAAAAATTTCAAAAGCATTTGCACAATTACTGTACTAATAAACGTCCTCTCTGACTCACCTGGGGACACCTGGTGGGGCACGGTTAGGACGAGAGGGGACCTGGGGCGGGGGGGCACTGAAGGGGTCAGGAGAGGCTCCAGGTCTGGATGGTACAGGAGGTGCTCCAGCAGTTGGGGGCCCTGGGGCTGTGCGTCCACCAGGACGAGGGGGCCCAGGTGGGGCCCGGCGCTGGGGAGTGGGACTAGACATTGGAGATCTGTTGAGAAAATAAAAAGATTATTATGTTGGCTTGAGAAAGACAACACACTGATATTCTGTTTAAACTTAAAATTCTTCTTCTTCTGAGACTTCCATTTCTGACTAAAGAGCTTTAAAGCTACCAAGCGAGCTCACCACCAAGACCTTTTTGACTGTTCTGACTCAGGTTGCCATATCCTTTCTAACTGATCGGATCTCCAGTTTTCCTAAAACAGAGAGCCAAGTGAATTGAATCTATCTATCTGTCTATAGAAAAGGTATTCTATTAGTGGTTCCCTTTCGTCCTGGGAACTCCTATTGAGAGCCTATTGCCTTCGAGAGAATTAAAAACGAGCCAATGGAATTGGCATGCAAGATTTGCATTCCGCGACCCGCCTACCAGCGCGTGTATAAAAGGCGGAAGTAAACATTGCGCAATGCTTTTTGCTTCGGAGCCTCAACAGTGTGTTCCTGAGCTGCTGTTTAAAATTGCCTATAACTGGAAGAAAAGGACGGTTCTCTCTCCCTCGCTGGTGTGACGGCGCTTCAGCGGTCTCCGCCCCTGCTACTGCTCGAGTTCTTTTTTCAAAAAAAAAAGAGCTGTTTTTACGGCTGGTGGTAGTGAGTGCAGCACACGGGCTTGCAGTTTCCTCGTGTGTCTGCCGCGGTGATCCCTCTGCGCTTCGGCGCGTGTGAGAGAACTTTTTTCTTTCTAAAAGAGCATCACGGGTGTTTCACGTCCTTTTCAGGATGTCGTTTCACCCGTGCGTTTCTGGATGCGGTCGACTTCTCCCTCAGGCTGATGGCCACAAACACTGCCTCACGTGTCGGGGCTTAGCGCATGCTGAGGCAGCGTTGGTGGATGAGTCATGTTCTCATTGCGGGAATATGACTCTGGCGATGCTACGTTCGAGACTGAGAACCCTGAAACACGGGGGAGTCCCTTCAGATAATCCTCGATCTAGTTCGTCTGCCGGTTCAGTTCGGCAGGCGGCTACTTCGGTGATTCCTGTTGGTGAGCGAATGAGGATCACCGTGAGGAACGCTCCGACTGGTGAAAGAGACTGTCGGGTGCCTCACCCCCTAGCTGCACGTTGCCATCGGCGCTTCCGGTGGGGATGTCTCCTTCGGGGCGTCACCTGAGGATCAGATGTCGATCGCGGCATCGGAGGAAGAGCGGTCATCTTCTGGTGATGACTCGGCGGGACTGCCCCCTTCGGGTGTGGTGGTTCAGGCTGAGCCGGATCCGGAAATGGCCGCTATGCTCGAACGGGCGGCCGCGAATGTCGGGCTCGCGTGGAACCCTCCACCGGGTCCCGAACATTCGCGGTTGGATGATTGGTGTCTTGGAGCGGGCCATACTGTTGCCCCACGACCCGCTCCGGTCCCTTTCTTCCCGGAAGTGCATGAGGAGTTGAGGAAGTCTCTGTCGGCGCCTCTGGCGTACAGGCGGAGCCAACCTCGCTCCTCCTTCCTTACCACTTTGGACAGCGGGGCGGCGCACGGGTACGAGGGAATCCCCCCAGTGGAGCGGTCTATCGCGATGCAGCTGTGTCCGAAGACCGCTTCCTCCTGGCGGGGTGCCCCTTCACTCCCCTCCCGCGCCTGTAGGTTTTCCTCTGGTCTGACCGGGGATGCCTACATGGCGTGTGGAGACGCCGCCTCCGCCCTGCATGCCATGGCGTTGCTCCAAGTCCATCAGGCTAAAGCACTCCATGACTTGCAGGCGGGTGGTCCCAACCCAGCTTTGCTGCAGGAGCTGTGTGCGGCGACGGACTTCGCCCTCCGGGCGACGAAAGTCACCGCACGTTCGTTGGGTCGTGCGATGTCCACTTTGGTGGTCCAGGAGCGCCACCTGTGGCTGACCCTGGCAGATATGAGGGAAGCGGAGAAGAACAAACTTCTCAACTTCCCTGTATCCCAGGGCGGCCTCTTCGGCGACGCGGTGGAGAACTTGGGCCAGGAGTTCTCCGCCGCCCAGAAGCAGTCGGAGGCTATACGGCATGTCCTGCATAGGAGGTGGCCTGCTGCGGGTCCGTCTCCTGTGGCTGTACAAGCCCCGGCTGCTTCCCGTCGCCGAGGTCGCCCTCAAGCGCCAGCTCCTCCTCCAGCGCAGCCTACCACCCCTGGAACGAGGAAGTCTGGTCGCAAGAGGGCGGCCCAGCCCGCTCAGACGCCCCCGGCCCCTTCCCGTAAAAGGAAGGGAGGGAAGCGTTCCTGAGACGGGCGACCTGGTGGAGGATTCCGGAGCTGCTCAGGAGGGTGCCCCTGCACACCTCCTTTCGCCGGGGGAGGGCCGGCGGGAGAATATTTTGTTTCATTCTGTTTTTGTTCCCAAAGAGTCAATAAAACTCAAAGAGTCCCAAAGAGGTACCCAAAGGTACCCAAAGAGGTACCCAGAGGTACCCAAAGAGTCAATAAAAGAGCAGTTTCCCCTTCCTCCTCCAGGTCATCCTCGGTCGAGACTGAGTCGAGCACTCAGTCTCCTCCACCCAAGAGGGTCCGAACGATGGTGGATGCTGTCTCCGAGCAGCATCGCTCTCGTTCCCCTCTTCCCAGTCTGCGGATAGCAGCGTCGCCGGTTACCCCGGTTGCGTCGCTCCGGACGGTGGCTGGGCCCAGATGGGCAGAGACCAGCTCACGAGGAGGCAGGGCCTCGTACCTCGTCTCTTCCCCTCCCCTCGCCACGGGGCAGCCCGCAGCAGAAAGCCTACGAGCTCTCTCTGCCGTCTGCCCCACGGTGGAAGCAGGTCTCTGGCGAGCTCGCCCAGACCCCGCTTCCAGTGGCTACATTACCATTGGAGCCGGGTCCCTGCCTTCCACCTCACTGCCCCTCCGCGGGTACGCCGGTGGTTCGGGTGGGCCTTTTGGGTCGGTACCTGGAAGCCTGGCTAGAGCTTCCGGGTCCGTCCCGATGGCTCATCCGCACCATTCGGTTCGGCTATGCAATTCAGTTTGCACGCCGGCCTCCCAGGTTCAGGGGCGTCCACTTCACCCGTGTGCGGTCAGTGGATGCCCCTGTCCTGCGGAAAGAGATCGATGTCCTGCTGGCGAAGGACGCGATCGAGCCGGTCCCTCCTGCCGAGATGAGGTCCGGGTTTTACAGCCCCTACTTCATTGTACCCAAAAAAAGCGGTGGGTTACGGCCAATCCTGGACCTGCGAGTTTTGAATCGGGCCCTGCACAAACTCCCGTTCAAAATGCTCACGCAGAAGCGCATTTTCGAGTGAATCTGTCCCCAGGATTGGTTTGCAGCGATCGACCTGAAGGACGCGTACTTTCACGTCTCGATTCTTCCTCGTCACAGACCATTTCTACGGTTTGCTTTCGAGGGTCGAGCGTATCAGTACAAGGTCCTACCCTTCGGGCTGGCCCTGTCGCCCCCTGTCTTCACGAAAGTCGCGGAGGCGGCCATTGTTCCCATGAGAGAACAAGGCGTTCGCATTCTCAACTATCTCGACGACTGGCTCATTCTAGCTCACTCACGGGAGGTGTTGTGCGATCACAGGGACATGGTGCTCCGGCACCTCAGCCAGTTGGAGCTTCAGGTCAACTGGGACAAGAGCAAACTCTGCCCCGTGCAGAGGATCTCTTATCTCGGTATGGAGTTGGACTCGGTCGCCCAGACCGCGCGCCTCACGGAGGAGCGCGTCCAGTCAGTGCTCACCTGCCTCAGGTCTTTTCGAGGCAGGACAGTGGTTCCACTGAAACAATTTCAGAGGCTCCTGGGGCATATGGCAGCCGCAGCCGCAGTAACGCCTCTCGGCCTGTTACATATGAGACCGCTCCAGCACTGGCTTCACGATCGAGTCCCGAGGTGGGCGTGGCAGAGCGGCACGTTCCGGGTCAAAGTAACCCCGCACTGTCGCCAAACCTTCTCCCCGTGGCCGGATCCTGCATTTCTACGGGCCGGAGTGCCCCTAGTCCAGGTTTCCAGGCATGCTGTGGTTTTCACAGATGCCTCTGCCATGGGGTGGGCGGCCAAGTACAAAGGGCATGCAGTCTCGGGTCTGTGGACGGGGCCCCAGCTGCATTGGCATATCATCTGCCTAGAGTTGCAAGCAGTACGCTTGGCTTTGTGCCGCCTCAAGGGGCTTCTCAAAGACAAGCACGTACTGGTCCGTACGGACAGCACTGCGACCGTTGCGTACATCAACCGATAAGGTGGTCTACGCTCCCGCCGCATGTCGCGACTCGCCTCCCACCTCCTCCTATGGAGTCAGAAGCATCTGAGGTCGCTTCGTGCCACTCATGTTCCAGGGGAGCTCAACCGTGTGGCAGACGAGCTTTCACGGTTGCCTCCCCTGCCAGGAGAATGGCGACTCCATCCCCAGACGGTTCAGCTGATCTGGAGTGTTTTCGGAGTCGCACAGGTGGACCTGTTTGCCTCTCCGGACACGACCCATTGCCAGTGGTTTTACTCCCTGTCCGAGGGGACCCTCGGCACGGACGCCCTGGCTCACAGCTGGCCCCGGGGCCTGCGCAAGTATGCGTTTCCCCCATTGAGCCTTCTTGCACAGACACTGTGCCAGGTCAGGGAGGACGAGGAGCAGGTCCTGTTAGTGGCGCCGTATTGGCCCACCAGGACTTGGTTCACGGAACTCATGCTCCTCGCGGCAGTCCCTCCTTGGTCGATTCCTCTGAAGAAGGACTTCCTTTCTCAGAGACGGGGCACTCTATGGCACCCGCGTCCAGACCTCTGGAAACTCCATGTCTGGTCCCTGGACGGGACGCGGAGGTTCTAGGTTATCTGCCACAGGCAGTGGTAAACACCATCACTTCTGCTAGAGCCCCCTCTACGAGGCGCCTCTATGCGTTGAAGTGGAACCTATTCGTCGAGTGGTGTTCCTCCCACCAGGAGGACCCCCGAACTTGTCCGATCAGAGTCGTGATGTCCTTCCTACAGGATGGGTTGGAGCGAAGGCTGTCTCCCTCCACCCTCAAGGTGTATGTTGCCGCAATAGCCGCACATCACGATGTAGTAGAAGGTAAGTCCGTGGGGAAGCACGACCTGGTCATCAGATTCCTTAAGGGTGCTAGGAGGTTAAATCCACCTCGTGTTTTGCACTCTGTACCCTCTTGGGACCTAGCTCTGGTACTGAGAGCTCTTCAAAGTCCTCCCTTTGAGCCTTTGAGCCTTTTCCCCTCCTCCAGTGGAGCTTAATATCCTGTCCATTAAGACAGCGCTCCTGTTGGCACTGGCCTCTTTCAAGAGGGTCGGGGATCTGCAAGCTTTTTCGGTCGACGAATCGTGCCTAGAGTTCGGGTCGGGCCTTTCTCGCGTGATATTGAGACCCCGGCCCGGATATGTTCTCAAGGTTCCTACCACTCCTTTCGTAGATCAGGTAGTGAACCTGCAAGAGCAGTGTGACTCCCTAGCTAGCTCCCGCAATTTGTGAAACTGCTTTTGGGTAGCTTAGCTGGGCGCTGGAAGGGGCCAGCACCATGGCGTTTTGTTAGGGATCCCAATTCGTCAGGGAACTCCCCGACGACACGTCGGAGTTCCCAGGACGAAAGGGAACGTCTCGGTTACGTACGTAACCCTCGTTCCCTGAGTACAGGGAACGGAGACGTGTCGTCCCCTCGCCATGTTGTTGTACCTTCACGGAGGTCTGAACACTGTTCGGCTCCTCAGCGAAAAGCATAGCGCAATGTTTACTTCCGCCTTTTATACCTGCGCTGGTAGGCGGGTCGCGGAATGCAAATCTTGCATGCCAATTCCATTGGCTCGTTTTTAATTCTCTCGAAGGCAATAGGCTCCCTGGCGTGATCCCAATTCGTCAGGGAACTCCCCGACGACACGTCTCCGTTCCCTGTACTCAGGGAACGAGGGTTACGTACGTAACCGAGACGTTCCCCTTCATTGTTTTCCCTAATTGGAGATATTGTTCTACGTACCTCATTTGGACATTTTTTAAGGTGCCGTGTGTTCCTGGCTTTTCTAACAAAATGTTAAAACATGCTAGCAACTTCTACAAATATGCTAAAACATATGACATATTGCGTGGCCTTAAAACCTCCAGACTTCAAGCTTTTGAAACAACTTAAAATCTTACAATTTCAAGTTTTTAAAACTACTTCAAACTTTCTGAACAAAAACAATGTTGATTTTTTTTTAAAGATGACACTGTACCTGCGCCCTGAAGGTCCTCCTTGTACCTGCAGCCAGGAGTCATCCACTGGTGGGGGCATGGTAGTGGAGATTGTGGTGGTGCTGATGTCACCAATGATGCCGAGGGCCTCTCTCAGAGCATGATACATGCGCAGCATCTCCTCCCTGTGCTGAGCCTGTTCTGCTGACTCCTCCATTAAAGTGTTCTGGTCTCCACATGAGTACACGTTAGCAAGCAACTCAGCATGGATAAAGTCCTTAGTCTATGGGAAGAGAAAGCAAAGACAAGGATAAAAAACATTTTTTTCAGTGACTACAGCAGGGCTAAGAAACATCCAATTAGAATCCAGTACGATCCTACTGGAAAAACCTGATTCTTGACTGGACAGTTTGATTCTTACATGATATTATTTGATCCCACCAGGATCATTTAGGTTTGGATGATAGAAATTGGATAGGAATTATTTTAGGTATATCAAAGCGTAATTTAAAACAGCTTACATTGTTGATCATGAGATGCATGATGGTCTTGGGCATGAGGTCCCTCACAGTCTTGTTGACGATGGCCATGTAGGAATCCACAAGGTTCCTGATGGTCTCCACCTGCCTCTCAAGTTGAGGATCCATGGAGTGCATGAAGCGATCCGAGCCATTCTCCTCACTGGCATCACTCTGCTGAGGGCCATCAAGACATTGATATTTACATATTACTGGCACTTGAAATTAGGGACACAATAAGGAACAAAGAGTGAAATAGTAAAGCAAATAAATGCAAGCCGATCATGAGTAACTAATCTAGATCACGGTTATTTCGAAGATTTGTTCTGGCATCAATCTCCTTTCTTAAAGGTAGGGTAGGCAATTTGTTTTTACTTTTTGTTATTCTGTTTGAAACTCAATTTACATCCTGATAGCAATCAATAATAGAAGTGGTCTTAATATATAAAACATGTACAAATATCTCCTATGGAAGTCTCAGGACCAAAACATTTTTGTCCAATCCCTGCATTTGGTCCGAATGCAATGATACGATGTCCGAGCCGAGCGCCACAAACAAACAGCACCGCCTTTTACAGTCCCTCCTCCAGAACCGTAACAGAGCTCATGCTGCGTTCACGCCATCCCGTAATTACGAAATGGCAACCCGTGACTACCCAGAGCTGTTCACGTCCTCGGACTCAAATTTATGCGTTTCTATGTCAAAACTATCAACACCAAAATGAATCTGCAGTCGTCAGATGGTACAGGTAAGAGCTCTGTAAGTTATTTACGATCATTATTATTGTAATGTTATGTGCTTTGAGACATGAGGTAATTTAATGCCGTCCTTGTGACGCTTTGCACTCTGCTTTGTGCGTTCATGTGTTTTGGAGGAGGCGTGGCTTTGGAGACGCTCTGAAGGGAGTGACGGTGAGGATATTTTCCCACCAGTTAATCGACGTGTGACAACACCGGTAATACCGGTATCACCGGCAGGGCCATTTAAATAGCTAATTTAAAGGCAAACGTAAAATGCACGCGTTTCCACGGGCAGAACAGCACCAGTCACGTAACTGAAAACTATGAAAGCCGTGTGACCGGCCAACCAGTAAAAAAAAATTAATAAATACATTAAAGAAATGATTCCCTCTGATTTTCTGTTTCATTAATAGAAGTTTGACTACTCGCAGCAGTCTCATATGCGCTTTGAGCCAGTGTGAATTGCACGTAAAAAATGAAGTTAACAAACAACCTCGATCCATCAGGAGGTCGCTGAATTTTACTGCGCTTCATGAAGAGTTTTTCTTTTGCGTGAAGAAGCCGTTCACAGGAGATGTGTTAAAGATAGCGGAGTGCATTCATGATTATTAGGCTACCGGTATAATAATCCACCTGGCGCCGGGTCTGAGTGAGTAATTTACTCTCTTGTCGTTCTTTGATTAACATAATGACACTTTAAGACCAGCCGCTGCTGACAGAGACACGATCTGACACTCGTCCCATTTTCTCACAAATCTCTACGTTCATTTAAGACTTTATTTAAATAATTTAAGACTGATCTTATGAGGACACTAGACAAATCCGACATTTTGGCATAATTTGTGTGTGTTACGGTTTGTTCAAGCCCAAAAGAGAACTCGATACTGACGTGCATCTTTTCTATTTGTGTGTGTGTGTGTGTGTGTGTGTAATAGGCAGGACTTACAGCGTGGTCTTTAGTCTTAAAAGCATTCACATTAATACGAGCGTGATCATACAACACTAGTCAACGGGTAACAGAAAAAAACGGATACTGCGTAATTGCGTTAAATATTTTATTTTTTATTTTTTTTGCTGTGCCGCGGTGGGCAAGTGATGAAACCGGTGTTGCGACTGAACACCGTGTAACACCGGTAACACCGACTCCCGTAGCAAGCCTAGAGGGTGGGATCTCATGCTTTCAAAACTAGCTTATTATTGCCATCCTCTCCGAAATTGCCTACCCTACCTTTAACCTGTTAATAGTGGGGGTTCACACCATAATTTCAAAGCATTGTTAAATACAACACATATTGATACTCAGAGAGAAATAAGTTTGCATATGACATAGATGTGTGGAGGAGGGAAAAATCAAACAGTCAGAGACAAATTGAAACTTACCTTCTCTTTATCCTGCAGAAAAAGCAAAGAAAGCACAATAAGTTAATACAATTAGTAAGCTATCAATGTAATTCAATGTGGTTTGTTAGAATTGTGTTGGTTATTGGTTATATACATGTGCCAGCTGTTACATCACAGGAATGTTCAAGTTAATATGACTTGAGTTAATCAGTGGAGGCATTCACGTACAGTGATTCGCTCTGTGTAGACTCCAGCCCGTAAGAAGGATGCCTTCCAGCTGTCCACCTCCTCCTGAGTGTCGCAAGCTAACTCCAGTTGCCTGTAGTCTTTATACACGTTCCTGAGACAACAGTCCGAAAACGAGCATGAGCAATGAAAGAAGTCAGATTGTGCTTACAAAATACAAATGGCCAGACAATACTGTCATTTGAGATGTATTGCATAACTTAGTAATACAGTTTGTCTCAATCACTTTGGCTCAATTCTCGAATGATAATATTTTTTCCCTCAAAACATTAAATTCAGATCTCTGAACAATTAGATTCTTGTTCACATCAGATTTGAATTTCTTATTGATTTAAGCAAATTGTGTTTTGGCACTTGAGTGCAAAAGAGTAAGTACAATTGTCTACAATTTGCACAATAACTAAACGCACATGGCTTGTTTATCAAAAATGATGAGTTACTTCTCAGTGAAACTGTCAAACTCTTAACAACTTCTAAACATTATTTCATCGTGTGAGCCATCACTTGCTAAATGGTGCATTTAGTTATCAAAATCTGTTAGACCAGCATGTATATTCCATAAATATCTGACATGGAATGTTTGTAATGTCTGTTAGATTGGCAAATAGCCTGACGTTGTATTGAAATAGTAATCACAATCTTAATCAACCAATCAAATTTGGAAGCATAAATATGAAGTTTGCCCAGCACAATCACTACTTTTTGTCACAATTTTTTTTTTTTACATTTGTATTCATACAGTACAATTATTTTTGTAGAAATGTGTTACATGTAAACTAAAAATTCAGTTGCTTGCCATGGAAGAGCAATAGGAAGACATAAAAGAATGTGAGATGGTGTTAGGGGAAGATATAATAGAGTGTGTAAAAATGAACAAGCAACTGTGAATTTTCATTTTACATGTAAAACATTTTACTAAAATGTACTGCATAAATAAAACATGTTAATTTTTGTGTGTGTACTACAGTATTGACTTCTAGTAAATTTTTACCTTTTGTTGAAATCTGAATCTAAAAAGCTCAGATAAAGAGCATTCAGCTAAACAAAACTGACATTTTTTCAAAGTCAACAAATTATCAACAAAAAAAGTAGAAAAAACTGTATGAATTTGTATATAACAAATATTGCCATGGTGAAAAACATTTAAACATTTTGATGTTTATGGCTCACACGATTACAAAAACACTTTTCATTTCGGTGGCATTGGCCAATTTACTGACACAATAACTAGGTTTCGAAGCATGAATGAAATGTTTTGGGTGAGTTACTACATTTTGCAGACATGTTCTGTTGTTCCAGCAAACAGTTGTGACAATTGAACTTACATTTTAGAGAATTTTAAGACTGTTTCAAAAAATGGGCTTAAGCTATTAAGAAAAAAGTATTACTGCAATAAGAAGAAATGCTACCTGAGCACCAAAATCAGCATATTAAAATGATTTGTGACACTGGAGTAATGATGCTGAAAATTCAGCTTTGCCATCACAGGAATAAATTACATTTAAAAATATACTCAAATAGAAATTAATTAATTTCTATTAATTAATTAATAGAATTAATTTGTAATAATATTTCGAAATATTACCGTTTTTACTGTATTTTTGATTAAATAAACGCAGCCTTGGTGAGCATAAGAGACTTCTTTCAAATATATGAAATATGTATACAGTATATATGTATATAATACTTTTTTTAATACAAAGTGATGTGTCTATTCATCATGAAGAAAAATCCTGAAGAAAAATAAGTCATGGTTTCCACAAAAATATAAAGCAGCACAACTGTTTTCATCTTTGATAATAAGAAATAAAAACTCTTGAGCAGCAAATCAGCATATTAGAATGATTTCTGAAGGACCATGTGACACTGAGACCTGAGTAATAATGACTTCTGAAAATGTAGCATTGCCATCACACGATTTAAAACATATGAAAATAGAAAATAATCATTTTAAATTGTAATAATATTTAACAATGTTACTGTTAAATGCAGCCTTGGTGAGCATAAGGGACTTCTTTTAAAAAACATGAAAAAGTCCTACAGACTCCAAACTTTTGAATAGAAGTGCAAATTAATATTTGATTTTTGTATTTCTGAGAGCTCTGTGGAGAGTAAAATGTGTTTTTCTCTTACCTTTGTTCAGTGTTAAAGAGAGCAAACACATGCTTGCTGGACATGAAGCTTTTCTCTATATCTCTGAGCTTCAGGTTATCCAATGGCAGCATGTACTTCTTCTCTTTCTCCTGCAGGGGGCAATAAGCACAATTAAAGAGGAATAAGAACAGAGCAAAAAAGAACACTACCAGATCAGAGACTACTGAAGAGTTATTATAGACCAAAATAGGCATAGCTGATCCTGCATTTGCAAAAACAAAACAGCTTCAAAGAATAGAGCTATGTTTAGAATACGATACTGCACGCTTCTGAATGGTAGTATCGTAGCCTAGAATTCTTTCATGATTGCATGTATAGAATACATGGTACAAATTCAAGGGTATTAAACAACACTGTTAGTGCTTGTGTTTTCGTCCAAAGCAGCTTTCACATTAAAGGGTTAACACATACTTGTGATGCGAGTATTGATTCCACGCTGGAAGCCTGCGTGTCATGCACACTGAGTATCATGCTTTATGACTCATACACTTAATCAGGAACACACAAGCTGGAGATGGAAAACATTTATAGTTTGAATTAAATAAACTCCACTCTATTAAAGGTTTTTTGTTGTTGTTGTTGTTGTTGTTTTGTATACCTAAAGGGGACAGAAAATGTTGATTTGTCATTTTGATTGATGCTTATTCCTTTTGAATATAAAAGCTATTGAGAGACGACATGAAGAGTGTAGGAGGAGAAGAGGGAGTGAAGATGAAAACCCTTGCATGTTAACAGGGTGAAGCATGCACATATTGAGTACCTTCTTACAAACCACCAGAGGAATTCATTTTAGCATCAACACAAAATGATCTGTATAGCAGCTAACCTTAACAATACTTGAAGCCAGTACTCTAATATACTTATATATTATAAAATTGTTTATTGATTGAATTATTGTCCTTTAATCTGAGATTAAGAATCTCTTTTTCAGAAGTGTTCTGGCCAAGATGAGCAGCAACAGAGATTCTTACAATAGTTACAATTCTTACAAAGTTTTGTATCTTCAAATCATTTTTGTAAATTATCTCAATCATTATAAACTTTGGTGTTAGAGAATGTCTAAAAACATAAAAGTTTGGTATAGGCACTAATTTATACAAAACATCTCCATAATCAACAACTGACATGAAAGTAGCAGAAACTAATCTCTTTTTTGTCTCAAATGAGAAATGGGCTTTGATTCTAAAATTAAACCCTAGCCCAATAAAGCCTTAACCCTGTCCTTAATAGACTTGCATGAGGTATAAAATAAAGATTCATCAAATATAAAACCAATGTATTTTTATTCTGTCACGACCTATTTTTCAGTGCCCTGTAAAATGCTAACCGATAACAGATTTATGCTTGTTTCTTTAAATAATAATAATTTTTTTATTTTTTTTTGTTAGCATTTAAGGCCAATTTCAAGCACCAAAGCCTTTGTTGCACAACACTGAATCAGACTGTAATAAACACAGCTTGATGAAATTTGGGTGCATCAGCATAGAAATGAAATCTAGCATTCATAATGTTGAAATCAAGATTATTAATATAGATCATAAAAAGTAGACGCCCCAGAACAGAGCCCTGAGGAACACCCCTAGTAATCTGTAAAGGTGTAGATGAGTGACCATCCATTCGCACCCATTGTGTCCTGACCATTAAATTATTTTCAAACCAAGATATGGTGTTATTGGACGATCCTATTAATTTAAATCTAAATTTCAATAATTGAGTCTACATTTTTTTGATACTGAAATATCTGAAACGGTTCCAATACTACTTTTTCTGCAGTATCATTACACCTATACCAGTTGCATCTGTGTTTATAGTCTATTATAGTCATCGCTGAATTATCACAGGGAATAATTTATTCCCTGCCCTTAGTTTGTAAAAACAAACAAAAATCATGTTTATTGTACTGCTCTACAATGGAAATAGCTAAATATTGCATAGTGCTTTTACATTTTTTTTTCAAATAAGAACTAGCTGTTGCATAATTTCTCATTTTTTTGTTGAAGTTGAAGTACTAAAATAAAAACTATATGGACATACACATAAAAAAAAAATACTAAAACTTTTTAGTTCAATTTAAAATTAACTTTAAAATTTTAAATGAAAACAGAAATATAAAAATAAAATCTATTTAAAAATAGTAACAATAACTATAATAGTATTTCAATAACACTAAAATAACACTGATGAACCAGTTTAAATGATTGCCTGTGGTAATCAACAGGATCTTTGGCATAGAGCTGAACTTCAGTTGAACACAGCATTCCTTTAAGAACCTCAGAAATTCAGACTGGTTTTCAAGCACAAGGCTTCAGAATGCTGACCAAGCAGACGGTGTCATGTAGTGACAATGAACTTTCCATCCACACTGCCAGTTTCAGAGATTTAATGTCCACAAAAAACAATGTAAGGGGAGCCCCCGACACCAAGGACGGACCAAACACTGTGAGGATTATTTATGTCTCTTGTTTACAGGCCAAATCCATGTTAGCATCTTATTTAACATTTAATAAGAACCCTGCTGCATTTCAGAGAAACATTCTGTGGTGAGCATGAACTTCAGCCTTAATGTGAACTAACTTCCGAAGCACCTTAATTCTTGTCTGCAGGCATGTTTTAAAACACAAGGGCCAGTATAAAGAGCCCTTTATCCAGTACGTGTAGAGGAAGTGAGGTTCAGAATAAATAGCAGCATGAAGAGAGGTACAGACCACATGACTACACATCTGGAGATATTACAATTCCGCCTCCATTCCAAGAAACTCAGTCAGCACCACCACCCACAACTTCACACACGCAAAAACACACACACACAAGTCTGGTTCACTGTCTTTGTGAGGACTCCACAGACGTAACGTTTTTTTAAACTGTACAAACTGTTTATTCTATCCCCTTACAATAACCCTACCCCTAAACCTACCCATCACAGAAAACTTTCTGCATTTTTACATTTACAAAAAAACGAATTCTGTAATGATTTATAAGCTTGTTTCGTCATGAGGACCTCAATTTACATCCCCAATGTGAGACGAGTCCCCATGATTCGGTGTGCATTCAGGTTAAAGTCCCCATTGGGATAGAAACACACACACACACACACACACACACACACACACACACACACACACACACACACACACACACAGAAATACATCTTAAAGAAAATGTTGAGTCTGACAGGTCTTCATCAGTACCAGCTTTCCTTGTCTTACTTTTTTTCTGACCTGTGACCTCTCACTTCCTGTTTAACGAGAAAAGAAACATAAACTTAATAAGGCGGAGGGGAAAAATGCTCCCAAAAAAAGCTCCACCTCTTTCTCTTTCTCTCCCTCTGCCTCTTTTCAACTCTTCCAGGGGAAAGTCAAAAGTCTGCCACGTCAATTCAGAAAAATCTACATTTGAAAAAGTACGAAAAGACGCTGTGCGTTACAAATTAGTTTTGGGATGCAAATACTGCATGTATATCTTCATTTTGTATATCTGTTATCTAAGACTTTGCCACTGATCTGAGGGGGATTTATGAGTCGACGGGAGTGAAAGGGCCAGGAAACCTAACTCTTCTTGCCACCCACATTCTTTGCCTTCTCGTACCACCATCAAACACGCAGAGGTTTTAAAGGACCCTCCTCTCCTCCTCCTCCCCCACTCACCCACCACTCTTTGGCATCTCACACACTCGGACGTCCAGCCGAACGGAGCAAGAGCAAAAGAGAGACAGAGACGGAGGAAAAGGATGGATGGAGGTTTTCGGAGGACAATCGAAACGTCTAATGCCAAATCTGATTGGCACAGATGCATGAACTTTTGAGGTATTTCTTGTCCCTTTGAAGTTTTTATTATTTGCATATGGCAGAAACAAATCTGAAAGTTTAAAGTTAAAGAGGGACAATGGGCTGTCCAACAGCTAAACTGGGGGACTTTTAAATGGATATATGAAATGAAATAGATAGATATAAATAATGGATATATGTGTATAGAACATGAGCAAAAGTGTATACATTCTAAAAGGTCTGAAATGCATCTTGGCAAGGTTCTCTGAATAATAAACGTACAATAGTCTGCTTCATGAAATAATTAAACAAGTAAAACTGACAAACGGCCTGCTGCAATGCTCCATTTTCAAGCAAATACAAAGTCAAAAGTCACTAATAAATATCAACTTTCTCATTTCCCTTTTTCTATGCTTACTTCCAAAAAAAGATTTGAAAAACAGAATGCATGTTCAAGTTGTACATCATGATCGTTAATGTTTTGTACAGATTCATTCCTCAGTGCTGTTGGACTCATCTCCCTGTGAAGCGCCATTCCCGCCCCGCTTTCCCAGTGTTCAGACTACCTGTTCAGGGCGTAGAGATTGTACAGTAGTCTGCACATTGGTTAGGCTGTGTGGGGGTTCACACACATCATCTTGTTCTGTTCAGCAACAGTCTCGTCATCATGTTTCTGTATGCCTACCCATGGAAATCTGCATTCCTTTATGTACTAAGTAACGTCTGTGTGTTTAAGTGTGTTTAAGGAAGGGGGTTACATATCTTAGTTAGCTAAATCAAACAAAACTTTCCCTGGAGACATTGAGGAACCTCCTCTGCAGAAAAATCGATTATTATCGGTAACAAAAAAAAATATATATATATATATAATTGTGATTAATCGCATCTAACATACAAGCATTTGTTTATATAATATATGTGTGCACATTTATTATTATATTTATATATTATATACACTATATGTGTCTGTGTGTGAGCATGTCTGTTGTGTGTGTGTGTGTGTGTGTGTGTGTGTGTGTGTGTGTGTGTGTGTGTGTGTGTGTGTGTGTGTGTGTGTGTGTGTGTGTGTGTGTGTGCGTGTGTGTGTGTGTGTGTGTGTGTGTGTGTGCGTGTGTGTGTGTGTGTGTGTGTGTGTGTGTGAAGAAAGAAAGAAAGAAAGAAAGAAAGAAAGAAAGAAAGAAAGAAAGAAAGAAAGAAAGAAAGAAAGAAAGAAAGAAAGAAAGAAAGAAAGAAAGAAAGCCAATGTGATTCATTACAATGTTGACTTGATGGAAAATAAAAGTATTTTCGCTGTGTATAATTGTCATTTTTTGGACTCTTATTTCATCCACTTGGACCACAAAAAAATTGTTTTGGCACAAGCAGGACATAACTGTGTTTTTTCTTTTTTTCTTTTTTTTTAAATGAGGAGATTAAATGAAAAACAATTATATGCAAAATGGATTTTTTTTTCCTCCCAAATGTAATTTAAGTCATTTTGGACTAGGAACTCCTTTGTTTTGAAAGGACTTTCTCTTCATGCTTAAACTAACTACAGCAAGGCCTTTTGGGAAGTGTTGGACCTAAGTCTGGTATGTATGGTAATGAAAACCATATGCCACCTTCCCAACCCCCAGAGCAGCCCTCCCACCAGCCCCTGGTCTGCTTCTCCTCATGCCTCATGCCTCGGGACTGACAGTGGGGGTGGGGTGGGGGTCACAACAGTACCATAACACCTGTGCTTGATCAGACCATCAAGATGGCAATACCTGGCCATTACTGAAGTAAAAAAAAACAGAACTATTGCACTCATTTATACTGTATGGCCTCAATCTCATTCTCTTTTCTTGGATCCAATGAAGCGGTGCATTTACAGCATGGGTCACTGGTAGGATAAGATGCTTTCATTGTGAATTTAGACTAAATATAGCCTTACTGCTGATGGAAATAATACTGAACTAAAAAGCACAGAGTATATGAAAAGAAAACAAGGCCGCTTCAGGGAAACCATCCCCTGTAGTGCGTACACTGCGAGTTGCATCAGATAAAAAGCTTTGCTAAATGAAAAGCAACCAAGAAAAGACATCAGGGGACTCACCTCATCATCTTTGTACCAGGACAGATTCTCAGCGGTCAGGACAAACCAATATTCCTTCGCTCCTCCTTTCATGATGCCAATATTATTGATGGTCAGCCAACCCTTTCTGATCACCTAGACACAGGCAAACGTGTGGGACGTAAGGGATATTGTACAGTCAGACAGTCATTGTTATACTTATCAAATATATAAATGAATGAACAAGTAATATTGGTTTAAAATTAGTGTGAGAATAATGAGGCATGATACGAGAGACATAAACATGCAAAGCTATGTAGGAAATCAGTTGGGACAATGACCAATTATGCAGTTCTGCAGTCATACCAAAATATCTGATTATCAAGAATGATTGACCAATCAGAATCAAGTATTCCAGAAGTATTCCATGTTATAATTTCAAATTATGTATATGTGAGTGTGGGATTTCTCAGAAGAACAAATCAGAAGAACATTGCAAATACAGTGGGGTCCTAAAGTCTGACCACTAGTGAAAATGTATCTACACTACCGTTCAAAAGTTTGGGTTTTTAAGAAATTAATCATTTTATTCAACAGACACATTAGTTTTTTTTCTTTTGAACTTTTTTTTCTTCATGGAATCATGAAAAAAAAATTTGTACTCATATTTTTTACTGTATTTTTGATTAAATAAGCCAACTTTGATGAGCATAAGAGACTTCTTTCAAAAATATTAAATATTTGAAAAAATATACTGACCCCAAACTTTTGAACAGTAGTGTTTTAGCAAATTTGTAATCCCATTTAAATGTTTTACATCAAAAATCCACATGAATTTAAAAATTTCATATTTTATTTGGTTGCTTTTTTTAAATTTAGGTGTAAATGAAAAAAATAAAACTACTGTGATTAGTACTGATTAGGATTATTTAATGATCATAACCAGCTATTTGCCTTTTTGTAAAAAACCACACCACAATGAAGACCATAATAATCAAAATGTAATGCTTTATTTGAAATACATTTTATATTAAAACGGCAGAGTGCATTAGTAAACACACACACACACACACACACACACCAAAGAGGCCGCAGTCAATGCACACTTACCATTATCTCATCCTGAGATGTGTTGGCATAGCAACAGTAGCAAAGCAAAGACAGGGTTTAAGATAGGTAATTATAAACTGGAAAAGTCAGCAGAGAGAACAGACAAGATGAACAGAATACAAAAGTAGCAGAAAGATGCTAAAACAGTTCAGTCACCAGTTCACACCACTAACACAAGAAATACGACCAGAATAGTTAAACATGATTAAATGGAAGATAGTTCAGGCTAAATATGTGAATTATTCCTAACTAGAAATGGCAAAAATTTATATCACAATTCTCTTAAAGGGGTCATGATCATGAATTGAGAAATCAAATTTTCCTTGATCTTTTGACACATAAGATATCATTGTACTATAAAAATATCCTGTAAGTTTCAGAACTCAAAACTTCCTTGTTAGTCCAAAAACAGATTTTATTGAAACCAAGCTCAGAAAAAGACATGTTTCGGATTTTGTCCAATTACTACATCAGAGTGCGACAAAAGACCGCCTCGGCAGAATCAGATCAACACCTACTTCTACATGATTGTCTCTTTAGCTCCGCCCACCAATTCACGCATGTCATAAAGTAGTAAATAAGAAACAGACGCAAACACAGGATTACTCCAACAACAAAAACGATAGAGATGCCTCTGGGAATTACAATACGTTTTAAAGTGGCACGTTGTGGAAAAACACAGTCTTTGCATTGCCATCCGTGTGATCCTAACATTAAGAACGCATGGATGAACTTTAATTTTAACGAAGTTTCAGTCAGATTCCATCAGTAAGACACTGTTCGTTTGTTTGCTTCATTTTACTGTGGATTCGTTTTTAATGCTAGACACAGTTCGATGCAGGCTTTTCAGATAGACTGAAAATAAAAGATGACGCAGTGCGGACTATATTGGATCCGACAGCAATGTCGCAAAACAGTTAACAATGTTTTTACCATGTGTCACAGATTGTTTAATATATACTGAGCATTTACTGTAGCGCCACAGTCAAACAGATTAGTTGTGATAGTTGTGATTAGCTATTCTTTCATTTGCTTTTGCATTTATAGGGTTAAGGTGGGGATTTCCAGATATGGAAGAAAGAACGTAGATAATGCTGATTTTGTTATAGTTTTGATCTAAGCCTTTCGCTGTAATCCTAAATAAAAGTTTCAGTGAGTGACATCTTCTGTTTTGTTACTGTCAAAAAGGATGAACGATGAATATGGTACATTCATTCATAATTCAGTTAACACAAGACTTATAAAGCATATTTAATACGCATGCATGTTTCACATTGTTGGCAAACGTTTCAACTAAACAAGATATGTTTCAACATCGGAAGTTTTCAAAACAATTCCACACGTGTAATGGCGGGCCGTTGAAAATTATTTTAATATGCAAAACTGTTTCCCAATCATAGCAGTGGTCGTTTACTTCCAAGTCTTGTGTTTGAAAGAGTGTTTCTGTTCTCTATTTGAACAGTTATGCACATTGCAACTAAACAAAAGTACAGATTTAATATCAAATTTAAATATATTTATATATTAGTTTTGTGAATATATAAGTTAATAAATATTATAATTAAGTGTTATAATTTAATTGAAATCTTTTATTAAATAATACTGTTCTACATTTATATGATTTAAATTACAATTAAAAATGTTTTAGTTTTAAAGCTGCCGTCGGCAACATTTTTTTTTTATCATATTCAGTGAAATCGACACTATAATCCGACAGAACAACATAAATAAAATGGTTTTAGAAAAAAAACCCGAGCTTCTAACTCCACCTGGAACGTGTTATTTGTTTTGCAAAAATCCACAGCTCCCGGATCATCGGGTCCAATCAGCGCAGGGGGGTGTGAGATCTGACTGTCAATCACAGATCGGGCACACGCCACCCCTCGTGCACGTTACAATCACATGCACACGCCTGAAGTTCGCGGAAGTTCGCGCAGTAACGAAGAGTGATGGCGGAAAATCAAGTAAGCTCATTTAGAGTATAAATGACGTTAGCAATTGCAATCTATCGGTAGATTAGCCAGGACAGCATACCTCCAAATAATCCATGGTGTTGATGGATCTGATGAGACGGGCGCGTTCACTGAAAATCTGGTGCACACGCACTGACGAGCATGAACTCGGTGGGAGGGTATTCGTTGATAGTGGGGGAGGACCATGAGAGTTGTAAACATTAAAAATTGTGCCTAAGTCTACTCAATCTGCCAGACTTGCTGACTGCAGCTTTAAAACACAGAGGCTTCCTCATTGTTTCTTACCTTTTCAAGAGCATTTTAAAAACACCCTGTTCTCAATAATTAAAATCTCATAATATGACAGACACTGAGTGATGCAGTGTCCAACTATAGACCTGCTTCTGGTGTTCCTACATAAAAATGTTTGAGTCAGGCAGCAAACATCTGCCAGGCTGTGTGATGCATGCAGGACACACAGCATCTGTTCATTCTGTCTTCTGCTTACCTGATTGCCAGCAACCTTCTTCTTATTCATCTGACTGCTTCTCTGCTGGGCGCTGAAGAGATGAACAGAAAAAATAAATATCCATAAAGAACACAAAGAGTCTGCAACTAGCCACAAGACCAAGTTTGAATGTTGGGGGTCATTGCCGAAAAGCAGATACTGATGTCCTGGTGCCCCCATCAGACTTCTTAATGATCTTAACCAGCAGTACTTTATTAGATGACTATAACTTTACCAGCTATGTAACCAGTTAAGCTGGAGAACAGAATGGCTTATGCTGATCCACATACTAGACATCATCAAACTAAACATGAATTCCGTGTTCGTCCAGGCTAGTTTATGCTGGTTAGCATAGTCATGCTGTTCTCCCGTTTCCCATGCTGGTGACCAGCAAACCAGCAACCAGCTCCCTGTGCTGGTACCAGCATGCAAAGTATACCTTATGCTGGATTTAGTTAAAGGTTTAGTAAATGGTTAGTATGTTCTTACTTTGCAAAACCGATGAAATCCTCATGATTGGTGTTCATGTATGCTAACTCAATGTCAATTAGCAACATGACCTGATGACAGAAAAAGAAAACAACAATACACATTTCACTACTTATTTTTCAGTTAAAGGTTGGGTAGGTCGTTTTTGGTCTAAAAAACTTTTTCCCAAATTTGTTTAAACTTTCTATATATATCAATGCATAATTAAAATGTAAGTACTCTGATAAAAAGAGTATAAAAATCGAGTGACTCTAGACCGTTTAATCTGCACTAAACACAGCTCATTATTTCCTTCCGGGACGAAACAAAGGATTGGCTTAGGCGACTGTCACTCTCTCGCAACCATGGCAACACCCCCGCTGCTACATGCGCTGCCCACATGCGCGCACTCGTTTGACTCGAGGAGGGTAAGAGACTAGTAAGAGACACAATTACATGCAAAACACGGCGTATATGTTATGAATCTTACACAAAATTCACCTTCATCACAGTGTAACTGATTGTAATGGGAAAACGTGTATCAATGCAACCTGTTTTTAGCTTTGCTTTATGTTACTAGCTCGTTAACGAATCAAACTCAATATATTTTAAACTTTAACAGTATCGATATGCTAGCTTGATAGTGAGTATTAACAGCCATGTTAGTTGTTTATATTCATAATGATAAAGTTAGGTATTTTATTACATGTGAGTCTGACATGATGTCACTACATGCACTGCTCCTCTCCGCTCGGCGCTAGTAAGCGCGTCCTCCAGCTGTGAGCTGTCGGCATCGCACGTTCATGTGTTTTGGGGGCGTGGTTTTGGAAGGAGCCCAGAATGGAGGGGGTGGAAGTGAATGGAGATAAGTAGCTGTGTTTATTACAGCCCTGAGAGGACTACAGACACTCGATTTTTATACTCTCTTTTCCAGAGTACTTACATTTTAATTATGCATTGATATATATAGAAAGTTTAAACAAATTTGGCAAAAAGTTTTTAAAAAAAATTCTACCTACAATACCTTTAAAGCTGTAGCTTGGTTTTAACACATGAGTTTGTATATGTAAAGGGTTGGCAGGTGCATGTTAGATGGGCTGTACCTGATTTTTGGTGCGACTCTCCCGATCACGGATGTGCTGGGTTACAATCCTCTCCATTTCCTCTCTAAGCATGGGGTACTGAGCTAGCTGTCCCACAAAACACATACTGGATCAACTACTATCACTGTCAGCTTATTAACAAATCGTATTAACACAGACAAATGGACAAGAGATTTCAGTGATTATTTAAGTGCGGAAAATAATTGTGCATTAGTTAAATGACTTATACCCCACCCCATTTTCATTATTTTAATGTGTCTAAATGTTTTGGTTTTGAGTTAAGAGTAATTTTGTTTGTACACATAAAATTTAATAAAGAAATAAAAAAAAAAAACATAAATAAATACATTATCATAAATTAAATGCTATATTTCATTAAATAAATAATTTATACTTTATTGAGATTTTTATTTCATGAACTGTGCTCAAATGTCATCAAAATATTGCCACAATTTGAATATATAATTCATTTTCTTCAGGCTAAATGTTTTTAATATTTAAAGGTAGGGTAGGCAATTTCGATGCAATAACAGGCTAGCTTTGAAAGCATTAGTGCGGAGGTATGGAAATACATACACTGACAGGCAGGTCGGACGTCGTATGATTTTTGACAAAAAAAAATTGGTACTAACACTTCACCAGACGATATTTGTAAAAAAAAAAAAAAAAAAATATGTTAAGACCACTTCTATTATTGATTGCTATCAGAATGTGTAGAAAGTTTCAACCAGAAAAACAAAAAGTGGTTATGGAAAAAATTGCCTACCCTACCTTTATTTAATTTCTTTTTTATTTTAGGGTTAAATATGACTCATACCAGTTCTTGAAAGGCTTTACTAGATTCACTCTAAACTAAAGTGACATCAGATATGGTTATATATTTTTAATATATATATATATATATATATATGTATATATATATATATATATATATATATATACATATACACTACCGTTCAAAAGTTTGGGGTCGGTACGATTTTAAATACTTTTAAAAGAATTCTCTTCTGCTAACCATGGCTGCGCTTATTTGATTAAAAATACAACAAAAATCAGTTATAGTATTAAATATTATTCCAGTGTAAATCAGCTGTTTTCTGTGTGAATATATAGTAAAGTGTAATTTATTCCTGTGATCAAAGCTGAATTTTCAGCATCACCAGTGTCAGTGTCTTCAGTGTCAAATGATTCTTCACAAATCAGTATAATATGAGGATTTGATGCTCAAGAAACATTTATTATTATTATCAATGTTGAAACAGTTGTTGGTCTGTCAGTTGTACAGTTTTTTTTTTTTTTTTTTGGATTCTTTGATGAATAGGAAGTTCAAAAGACTTTTGTAACATTATAAATGTCTTTACTGTCACTTTCGATCAAATTAATTATTCCTTGATAAATAAAAGTATTGATTTCTTTCCTCCAAAAAATAAAAATAAAATTCTCACTGACCCCAGGTAGTGTATATATATGTAACGGTAATGTATATATATGTGAGAATATCAATTTGGGGTCTTAAGATTTTTAAATGTTCATGAAAGAAGTTGCTTACCAAGACAACATTATTTAATCAGAAATACAGTAATTTTGTGAAATATTACAATTTAAAACAACTTTCTGTATGAATACATTTTCAAATGTAAATTTTTCCTGTGATGGCAAAGTTAAATTTTCATCAGCCATTACTCCAGTGTTCAGTGTCACATGATTCCTCAGATTTTAAAATTTGCTGTTTTGGTGCTCAAGAAAAATTTCTTATTATCATCAAAGTTGAAAACAGTTGTGCTGCTAAATATTTGTGTGGAAACCCTGATACATTTTACGATTCTTTGATAAATATAAAGTAGATATCTTATGTAACAATTTAGTCTAGTCTAGTTTAGTCTTTTGATCAATTTCATGCATCCTTGCAGAATAAAAGAAAAGAAAAAACATAATTATTTATTTATTTATTTATTTATTTTCAAAAATGTACCCCAAAACGGTAGTGTATATGAAGGTCAAATGGGTATACTGTATAGACAGACATGGAGTAAGGTTTACCTTCTTGGTGCATTGCCTGACCGTATTGACCAGCTCGGTGATGACCAGGTCCACACATTTCTGACATGGCTCTTTAATCTTGGCGATCTGCCGTTTAACAATAGTCTCGAAGGCCATGTCTGGAGTAAACAGACCAGTCCTGACAAGTAAAAGAAATGAACAGAGCAGTCAGAGATCTAAATGATGTGCTTTACAGTTCCTGATTGGTTTGTGGTTGCAGTTTATATTTAATGACATGGTTCTCATGGTGCAGTACTTCATATCTAGCAAGCAGTTGTTCAAAATGTCACAGTGACATCAAAGAGAGTTTGATCTCAGAGCAGGTGAGTTGGCGAATGTGTTTGACTCTGTCTGTTTGAGGTAGAGGCTTCACACCTGATACCGTGGATGTTCTTGATGGCGTAACTTATCTCCTTACGCAGCTCTTTCTCATCAAACTCCATCTAGTCACCATTAACAGACAGAGAGACACTTCCTTTATATAATATGAGAGAATATAATTTAAATAATCCCACAGAAAGTATGAGCACTGCATTGTTTTGATCTCAGAGAACATCAGTTGTCACAGTATGGTAAAATTACCTTAACTAGCTCAAAGGGGAAGCGCTCATGGAAGATGCGATTGATCCTTGCACCTCCGGACAGCTCCACCGTGTCCACCTGATCTCCTGAACCCTCAATGCACTTCTCAAAATCAACTGCAAACTGCTGAACCATCCTTTAAACCAGAGAATAGTGAGTTTTATGTGTGAGTCACAGAAAATATACAAACCACCACACAGAAACACACACAAATAAAGATACACTACTGTTCAATGTTTTGTGAAAGAATTCTCTTATTCTTTCTTATAGGCTGCGTTTATTTGATTAAAAATACAGCAATACTGTGAAATATTATTACAATTTAAAATAACTGTTTTCAATTTTAACATATTTCAAAAAGTAATTTATTCTTGTGATGGCAAAGCTGAATTTCCATCAGCCTTTAGTCCAGTCTATAGTGTCACATGATCCTTCAGAAATAATTCTAATATGCTTATTTGGAGATCAAGAAAAAATTTTTTTTTGTATAAAAGTTGAAAACAGTTGTGCTGCTAAATAGTTCCCTTTCAAAAAAGGAACTCTACACTGTGTCTTAGATGGACGCTATAGGGTCGCCATCAGAGTATCTAGTGTCTGAAGCATGTGTTAAAAAACATTTCAAACAGATTGATTGGCAAAGGTCCGTATTACATTATTATTAGAGCACCCAGAAGTATAAGAGGGCGCCCCGCCCGTAGTACACGTCATCAACTTTTTTTGTCTTCAGGAGCCGTTTGTATTGTTAGCGCGTGGTGAAGGCAAGATCATGGGAAATCCAAGCAAGCGTTCGAGGAAGTGTGTGCCTCCGTGTCCCAGGTTTCTGACATCTGAGGACACACGCAACCAATGAGTTTATTGATTGGGAGAGGAGCAAGAGCGTTCGGTGCTCGAAGGTTCTGAATGCGCTCATTGTGAGAAATTCTCAATGAGAAAGCTCTGTTTGCATTTGTCCCTATGCTCAAGGGATGTGGGACGAGCGTCTGTGTCCCACGGCTCAGGCTTCAGCTGTGGGGTTTGCAGGTCGAGCTCGCAAAGGAGTTTGAGAAAGGGCTGGCTCTTTCTCACGCCTCGATCGCGTGCTTGAGCAATCTGATAGTACATTGCTGGCCTCATCTAGCCAAAAGGAAGCGGATGTGGTTGAAGAAGGCAGGAAAGTATATGTACTTAGTCTTCTCAACCTGCCAGGGTGATATGGGGAATTGCTGGATGTCATGGATCTGGCTTGGGGGCATGAAAAACGGGAAGTCAATCATGGTAGGCTGGACAAGCGCTTCTGTTAGGCCATGTTCCCCCTTCCCCCATGAGCCTTCCATTCCTTTCTGACCTCTACGCTGAAGTGGAGAAGTCGTGGAAGAAGCCATTTTCAGTCCGGATTTATCCATTTTATCATTTGAACTACGCGGATGTAGAAGGATTAGCTGAGAGGGGATATGTGAGGATGCCCCGGGTAGAGGAGACGCTTGCAAACTATCTCTCCCAGAGTGAGTCATCCTCACTGAAGGCTCCTGCCCTGCCATCCAGGCCGCTTCAGACCACCTCACGCTTAAATGGCAGGGCGTATGAGGCAACAGGTCACGCCAGGGGGGCCTTGCACATCATGGCGGTGCTGCAGGTCTACCAGGCAGATCTGCTAAAAGAGGGACTATCAGGGACTGTCCCCTGAAGCGGTTGCTGAACTGCGCCGCACTACGGATCTAGCTCCCTGGGGCCGCTAAACAAACAGCCGCTGCTATCGGTTGCTCGATGTCAGCGATGGTGGCATCTGTGACTGAACTTGGCGGACATTGGGGAGAAAGAAAATTATTTTCTCCTCGATGCCCCAGTCTCGCCCTCTGAACCTTTTGGTACATCTGTTGAGACAGTGGTCGGAAAGTTTATAGAGGCGAGGGAGCAGTCGGCAGTGTTCAGAAAATACATTCCGCGCCGATCCATATCCCCGGCTAAAGCCTCTGGGGGTTCGGTCCCGCCACAGTCCAAGGACCGGAGGCAGGGCCATAGGGAGAGCGTGGCCACTCGCGCTCCTCCTCCCTCGAGAAGTCGAGCACAGAGGAGGCGAGATGTGAGGAAGAAGAGACCGGATCTCAGGGAAGTGATTAATAGGAAGCACTTCTGTTAAAGGGATACTCCACCCAAAAATGAAAATTCTGTCATCATTTACTCACCCTCAAGTTGTTGCAAACCTGTATTAATTTCTTTCTTCTGTTGAACACAAAGGAATAGGGATGTAACGATTCACTCAACTCACGATGCGATACAATTCACGATACTGGTTTCACGATACGATTTTCTCACGATTTTTTTGTCAGTGATTAATTTAAGAAATTATAAATGAAAAAGTGTCCCTTTTATTATTTCTCAGACAAAATGCTGCACATTTCTTTTTAATTTTAAAATATATTTGTCAAATAAAAAAACTACATTGAAATTAAAAAAAAAATCCCTTCAAGGTTGTTTCAACTCAGTCTTTCTGTCTGTCTGGTCAAGAGGGTGGGCACTGGTACCTTCGCACACTAAGTAAAAGACTATGTAAAATTAGTAGCCTACCAGATTTAGAGGGGTTTTAATTTTGTTATAGTTTGTATCATTACACTAGCAAGAGTAAAAAAAAAAAACATTTAGAAAAATATGCCATAAACATCAATAAATTATATAAAAAAATATCCATGTACACATTTAGAGAAAGAGATAGTAAAATAAATACAACACCTGGTTGCCACGGAAACACTGATGCACCTTGTGATCTCCGTGGTCTCGCACTTGTCGTATTAATGCCTTTTACATGAAAACGGAGGTGACTTGTGCTTCTCACGGTGGTGATTATTATTAGTCTACGGAAAGTCAAAATGCCGCCACACCTCCGATTTGAATGAGTCAACGTCAACATGCCGTCGCCATGTGTTTGACGGCGCGTGCACACCAGTCATGGCACACACTGGCGCGGCGCGAGCGGAGCAAACCGAGCGTTTTCAGTTAATTCCTATGGAAGTAGGAACTTCCAAGCTCAAGTTCCATGAATGTAGTGAAAACACTCGCTAGCTTCGCGCCAGTGTGTGCTTGCTGCTATTGTGCCTGTAAAGCGAGGTTCACAACTTCACAGTAGGCTACACAGTAAACACCCCTGCTGTTTAAAACGTGTATCGCGATTCGTTTAACATTTCAACCGACTTGAATCGTCACACATTTTTATCGATTTTCAACCGGTTGCGAGTGAATCGTTACATACCTACAAAGGAAGATATTTTGAAGAACGATTGGAACCAAACAGTTGTTTGGCACCATTGACTTCCATAGTAGAAAAAAAAAATACTATGGAAGTCATTGGTACCAAAGTTCCAATCGTTCTTTAAAATAGCTTCCTTTGTGTTCAGGAGAAGAAAGAAATTCATACAGGTTTGCAACAACTTGAGGGTGAGTAAATGATGACAGAATTTTCATTTTTGGGTGGAGTATCCCTTTAAGACCCAAATGATGACAAAAAAAAATAACATCTCTCATCATCCCACTTTTCTTCTTTTTCTTAAATTTTTTTTATAAACATTATAAATGTCTTTACTGTTTACTATTGAATAAGTCCTTGCTGAAAAAAAGTATTAGTTTCTTTTTTTTATTCTTACTGATCCCAAACCTTTGAATGGTTGTGTATGTGCTTGAGCTGTACATTTTCAAGTGGGAAATACATATAAGACTCACTGTAGCAGAGCCTTGGTTTTGCGAGAAGGATCATCGGGGCGAAAGTGCTTGTACTCCTCCACCTCTTTCTCAATGGACAGTAACTGGCTCTGAAGTTTATTCCTCAGTCCTGGCAGGGTGTCTCGGATGTGATTAGTTAATTGCTAGATGAGAATGAAAACCCTTGGTTACTGGCTAACATTTTTCAAATGTATATTACATGATTTATGTTTGTTTACAAAACAGTGAGATAACAATATACTTAAGGATATATTCTTCTGTATCAAAATGGCAGTAAGGTGTTTAAAAAAACATGCACAAAAAAACAACAACATTTGCATAAGTGTCTCTCTGTGTCAGTCTACCTGATTAAGCACTTTCTGCAGGTAGGGAGTCCCCATGCGATCGGCCAGATGTCGATAGGCTGGGTGGGTAAGGAAGAACTTCCTTTCTGCTCCCATGGCAGCAGTAATGTCCTTCTTGCCATCAATGTCCTTTTGACTGCGGTTCACAACCCCAATGTAGCCTAAAGGGAACATCCAATTTGAAGTAGTTACAGGCAATCAGCATAATAAAACATAGCACATTGGACATAGTCATAACTAATTTAAAATCAATCAAATCAAAATAGATGCAAAAATATACAGTAGCTGTTAAAAAATCAGAAAATGCAAAAATATACAGTAGCTGTTAAACTATTTTCATGAAGTGGACTTTTTAAAGGAGCCAAATAAAATTTTACTTGTAAAGTTACAAGAAAATAAATGGGAACCGTGTTAACTAATCAGAGCTAGCTAAAAAGAATCCGCTATGTGACAAGTAATCAATGTCAGTGAATAATAGAGAGGAGAAAGGTCATCCACAAGTGCAGAAAAAATAGCACTTGATAATGCACTGGTATACTTGGACTTAGAATTGCATCAACAAAATTAGAGAAGATTTAAATCGTTGGGATACTTTACCTATCTCCTGAACCCAATTCAAATGATCCCTATCCTGTTTTCTAAAAAGGTTTTAAAAGATGTGAATAGCAGGCTCAGTTCCTTTATCTGGAGCAAGCGCAAACCATGAAGGCTGAAATTCTCTGCACTACAACTACCAGGGTCAATGGGAAGAATGGATTTGCCCAATATTAACCAGTGGTCTGCACATCTACAGTAAGATATGTTTCTGATTGGGTTGCTCTTGCTAGATCTTGAACAATCGTTGACAAAACCTCCCCTTAAAAAAAAAAATTCATATTGGAGAATTGTGATAACCCTCTAACTGTAAATGCACCTAATGAATGGAGGGCTTTTGCCGTTTCAAGGGAAGAACTAAGCTAGCCTTTGCTCTCACACCAACTGTGAACAATCCGGACTTCCCTCCAGGTAGAGGTTTAAATTTTGGGTGAACCAAGGTATTAATTGGCTTGTGGACTTGTTTGATGAAGAATGTCTTTTGAGGAATGGATACAGTGGTATCAATTATTAAAGGGGTCATATAATGCCATTTTCATACAAGTTAATTTGATTCTTTAGGGTCTGAATGAAAAGTTTGTAACATACTTTAATTAAAAATTCTCATTAGTATCATAAGAAAACACTCATTTTACCTCTGTTTTCAGCACGCCGTTTCAGTGCATATGCCTTTAAATGATAATGAGCTTCGCTCACTCCGCCCCTCTGTTCTGCGGGCGTTTGCCACAACGCACGTGGAGTGTTGCCTTGACAATAGTTGAGGGTATATTTTGGAGAAAGAATGGCAGCGGGAGTCTCTGAGGACACATCTGTGCAATCGTATCAGTTTGAACCGGAGTCGGACCCGGAACAAGATGACAGCCGCAAAGAAGTTCGACAATTAAGGCTCGAACAGGACGTTTCTGAATGGTTGGTTAACATAATGTCACTTTGATCTATCTTTGTATGTACTGGCAGGGTAACGTTAGAGTAACGTGAGATGTACGAACACTATGTGTTTACTGATGTATACGTACTCAGTTTGTTAACACAATAACCATAACGCGTTGTTCATTATAAACGTGGGATTATGAATTATATTGAGAATGTCGTACATAGAAAACATGCCGTAATGTACCCTGAGTGTAAACCTTAGCCGCATTCATCGTGAAGCGTGCAAGCGATTTGCAAAGATTAATATAAAGGTTAATAAAACTTTACACTCACTTCTTCTGGAGGTGCAGCAGGGACACGAATAGTTGGTCCCGATTATTTTTCCAGGAGCAGCTTCTTAGCAAAACCAGCTTTATACTGATCCTCGTTTATAAAGCAGTCTGGTGAGAAAAGATTCACGAATCGTGCAAACATGAAAGCATTGACGTTGCTCGTGGGGAATATTCCCTTCGAAAACAAAACTCAGCCACTGCGTCTTCATCGGTTCGGATTTAGGAACATCAAAATGACTGCTGTGTTCGTTATTACACCCAATAACAGAACACCACAATCGCTTAGACGCCATTCTGCTCCAGCATATCAACAATGAATGACGGACTATGATGACAGCTCGCTCAGGGCGAGGATGTGTTGAAACGCTGCTGTCAATCAACAATCGTGGGAGGGGCGTCCGTTTTATTGACGTCACAAAGTCGAATGGCTCAATTTGAGGAAGGGGAAAACATATAAGGAGATTAAAACAAAAACACTGGATAGATTTTTATCATAATATGATGGTTGTGTACAGGCACTGCCAACACACATTTCAGTACAATCAACTTGAAAAAGTGCATGTACCATTATATGACCCCTTTAAAGCAGGACTCTTTTTTATTATAGATTAGAAACTATATTCTGAACAACCCCTCATCATGTAATAACAGAAGTCACTATTTTAGTGAGTCGGTTATCAGTGTTTGGGAGTAAATTGTTACATGGAATGGCATTACCTAATGTAATTATTTTTTTTATTATTAACTTTACCCTAGTGAAAAATAAATATACTAAAATGTATTTGAAATACATTTATTTTATGCTGAGTATACTACAAATGCATTTAAATATTTATGTATTTAATATAAATACCCTGCAATTGTACGTTTAGTATACTAATGTCACGGATATCCGAAGGAAGATGATGAATAAGAACCAGGTTTATTTACATAGCTCAGAACTGAATAGTGAGACAGCGCACAAACATCACACACGAACAATACCGGACAACTGAAGAATGCACGAGGAGGAACTTAAATACATGGTGATGATGACAAAATAATGAACAGCTGTGATGATTAGTGTTTGTGTCCAGGGTAACTGATGAGTGGCGGGAAACTAGAACAAAGGAACACATGATGTGACTAATGAAACCAAACAGAGAGTCCATGATAACTAAACAAACTGAACATAATGGTGACAACTAAATTGATGTACTTAAAGTCTGCTAAATTGGAACAAGTAATTTTGTACTTAATGCACTTTAGTTATCCGGAAGTAGTGCTGAGGTCCAACTAAAGTTATACTTAAGTGTATTTGATTGTGCTAAAGTGGAACTATTGCAAGAATACTTAGGTACAATTTAAATATCTTGCATTTTAATACTGATATTATACAGTGATCATACTATCCTTACTAATAGTGATATTAAAAATGAAATTAAAAGTGACATTACTCAAAATAAAGTTGAATTATAATATTTATATCAATAAGTCTCAAGCGATATGTCAGTAAATATGTTTGTAGTATACTTAGTATGAAATAAATTTTGGTGTATAGGTGTTTTTCACTACAAGGTAATCCATTACCGTTACTGAGAAAAAAAGGTGTAATTTAATTACAGTTACTTATGAAAATGTTAACGATAACAAAGGGGGTTACATCTGAATATTTTCTGTAAAAAGCTAGGATATGTTGAATAATATTAATTTGTTGCTTTGCCTGTTTTTGATGTGCACGATGCCTTTTAAATGCCGTTTGGTAAAGTGATGCTATTCTGATGCTTTTGATTGGTTCGCCTTTTTTGAATTTGCAGCACACCACATCTGCCAATTATATCAATCCACATTGCCGCTGAAAGCTTTAGGCTACAACCTGTCTGTGTCACAGGATCACAGGTGGTTGCAGGAAGGCAGACGAAGAAGAGTATAATTCCAACACAAAGTTTAATGACGATTATACAAGAATAAACAGGTAGAGCAACATAGACCGAACATAGAAGGAATGTTAATCTGATGTTAATCTAATGTTAAGGAATGCCATCTAATGGCCTGGCAGCAGAATTTTAGACATTTTAGAATTTTCTGACAGCGGTTTTAGTCATGTGAATGGTGAATGTTTTGACAATGGTGTCGTCTGTACACTGAAAACTCAAAGGAAAAACTTCTCTGTTTTAAGCATATCGTTTTCGTGTAGACGTACCCTTAAAGTCCGTGATAATGAAACTAACTTAACATAAACGTGACAGTCTGAGAGTTGCCACCATGGCGAAAGATAAAAATTTGTTCCAGTGCAGGACATTTTAAAATAATCTCATCTAGAAATCAGAAAATATAACTGTTCAGTGCAAAATATGTTTGCCAACTATTAAAATGCTATTGAAAACGAATTTAATTATTATAATCTTAATTCAAGTGATGAAGGATTTTGAAAGTCTGACAGTAATCAGTTGAGTAAGCTACTACTGTAAGGTTAAACCTGCCTGGTTTAAATGTTTGAAAATGATTAACACATAAAAACATTCATTAGAAATTTATAAAAGTAATCTAATGTAATCAGCTACATTACTTTAATAAAGCAATTGAAATAGTTACACTACTTATTACATTTTAAATAGGGTATCTTGTAATCTGTAACATTTCCCAAGTAACTTTCCCAACACTGTCAGTTATACAAGGTTCTCAATGGTACATCTGAGGGATCATTCATTCGTGTAATCGTGCCATGGCTATACAGTTTAAAATTGTACAAAGGATATTTTACCAAACCGTAGACACGCATTTAACAAAAACCTCTTTGCTTTGAGTGCAAAACGTACTCGGTTACTAACGTAACCTCGGTTCTCTCTAGAGAGGGAACGAGTACTGAGTAATAGCTTTACGCTAGGGGAAAAACTCTTTTCCACGAGATATTGAAGCCAAAAATTATCCTTAATTTTTTATTAATGTAAAACGCTTTGCAGCAGCAAGCAGACATAGGCGAAACAGCTCGCGCGCCTATTGGTTGCTCTTGCGGCAAATGCAGCAGCCTATCGAGAGAGACTCTGCGTGACGTAATGACCAATGGGGGCAATTCGCGCCCATATCGTCACGTCCCGCCAGAAAGGGCGTGGTCTCACCCTATAAATATGCTCGTTAGGCTGGTACAAGCTGGTTTTTATCGCTGAAGCGAACCAGAGCGTATTCCAAGCACGGCAAGATACGCAGTACTCGTTCCCTCTCTAGAGAGAACCGAGGTTACGTTATTAACCGAGTACGTTCTCTTACGAGAGTATCTCTCGTACTGCGTAATAGCTTTACGCTAGGGGAACACAATGCAACACGCCGTGCGTACAGGGATCCAACACCAAAGTCCCAAGGGCCGAAGCCCAGGGCTCATGTAG